ACCCACTGCAACTATGAGGGCCTATAACAGCACCGCCGGCCCTAGGAGGGCCCATAGGGGCGCCACAGCTTCTGGCAGGGTTCTTGGGGGGCAGAGGCGCCCCATAGAGGGACCCTGGGGGAGACACCGCCTCTGGAAGGGCCTCTGAATGCCCCACCGCCGTGGTATGGCCCCTGTGGGTGCTGCCGTCCCTGGGAACACCCCTGAATGCGCCGCCGTCAAGGGGAAATCCCCTGAAGGCGCCCCCGTTCCTGTAAGGGACCCTGGGATCGCCGCTATCCCTGTGAGGGTCACCTGGCCATGCCAGAAACGGAGGCGCCCCGAGGGCCCTCTCAGGGTCAGCGGTGCCCCCAGGGGACCTGTCAGGGGCGCTGGATCCACCAGGGGTGCTCTTCGGTACAACTGCAATCCCAGGGGCCTTCTCAGGGAAGGCGGCGTCGAGAGGGGCTCCTTCAGGAATAGCCGAGCTTCCATTTACCTCTCAGGGATGGCGTCGCTCCAAGGGACCCTCGCTGGGACGGCAACGCTCCTAGGGACTCTCACAGGGACGGCGGCGCCCCCATGGGCCCTACTAGGGGCGCTGGCGTCTCTAGGGGCCCTCACAGAGACAGCCATGATCCCTAGGGCCTTTCCAGGGACGGAGGCGCCTCCAGGTAGATCCTAGGGACCGTGGTGCTCCCAGAGGCCCTGCCAGCGGCGGTGGCGCCTTCAGGGGCCCTTCCAGAGGCGGTGACTTCCCCCAGGCCTCTTTATGGGGCGCCACTGCTCCCAGGGACCCTGCCAAGGCCAGTGGCTCACAATAGGTCCTCCCAGGGGAGTCGGCGCCCCAAAACAATGGATAGTGGTGTCGTACATATTGCGTTCTTCCAGTAATCTCTTACTTAACTGTGATTGGTGGAATAAGAGGTAACGTCATCATATTACAGTCTATAGGAAAACAGAGGAATCAGTCAGCACAACACCCCAACTTATGTTTTACTGTCGGATATTTATTCTCCTTTTCATTGTTCAGGTTGCGATAATACTGAAAATGCTATGGGCAATGTCTATTTATTGAAAACATCATAACTCCAAGAGTTTAAATAGTGAAACGAGAATACATATCCAACAGCAAAGCATAAGTTGGGGGTGTTGTGCTGACTGATTGCTCTGTTCTCCTATTGGCTGTAATTTGATGACGTTACATCTTGCTCCACCAATCACAGTTAAGTAATGGATTACTGGACGAATGTAAAATGTACGACAAAGCTATGAAGTTCTGCGGGCGATGCTGCATGTGGAAGGGCCCCTGGGGGCGCCGTCGCCCCTGGCAGAGATCGTGCCGCCCCTGGAAAGACACCCACTGCGACTAGGAGGGCCCATATCAGCGCCACCGGCCCTAGGAGGGCCCATAATGGCGCCACAGCCTCTGGTAGGGTCCTTGGGGGCAGAGGCGCCCCATAGAGGGACCCAGAGGAGACACCGCCTCTGGAAGGGCCTCTGAATGCGCCACCGCTGTGGTATGGCCCCTGTGGGCGCTGCCATCCCTGGGAACACCCCTGTAGGAGACGCCGTCCCTGGGAACACCCCTGAAGGCGCCCCCGTCCCTGTTAGGGACCCTGGGATCGCCGCTATCCCTGTGAGGGTCACTTGGCCATGCCAAGCACGGAGGCGCCCCCAGGGCCCTCTCAGGGTTGGCGGTGCCCCCAGGGGACCTGTCAGGGGCGCTGGATCCCCCAGGGGCGGTCTTAGGAACAACTGTAATCCTAGGGGCCTTCTCAGGGAAAGCGGCGTCGAGAGGGGCTCCTCCAGGAATAGCCGAGCTTCCATGGGCCTCTCAGGGATGGCGACGTTCCAAGGGTCCCTCGCAGGGACGGCAACGCTCCTAAGGACTCTCACAGGGACGGCGGCGCCCCCATGGGCCCTACTAGGGGCGCTGGCGACTCTAGGGGCCCTCACAGAAACAGCCATGATCCGTAGGGCCTTTCCAGGGACGGGGGCGCCTCCAGGTACGTTCCTAGGGACCCTGGTGCTCCCAGAGGCCCTGCCAGCGGCGGTGGCGCCTTCAGGGGCCCTTCCAGAGGCGGTGACTCCCCCCAGGCCTCTTTATGGGGCGCCACTGCTCCCAGGGATCCTGCCAAGGCCTGTGGCTCACAATAGGTCCTCCTAGGGGAGTCGGCGCCCTAAAACAATGGATAGTGGTGTCGTACATATTGCGTTCTTCCAGTAATCACTTACTTAACTGTGATTGGTGGAATAAGAGGTAACGTCATCAAATTACAGTCAATAGGAAAACAGAGGAATCAGTCAGCACAACACCCCAACTTATGTTTTACTGTTGGATATTTATTCTCCTTTTCATTGTTCAGGTTGCGATAATGCTGAAAATGATATGGGCAGTGTTTATTTATTGACCGTCATATCTCCCAGAGTTTAAACAGTGAAACGAGAATACATATCCAACAGCAAAGCATAAGTTGGGGTGTTGTGCTGACTGATTGCTCTGTTCTGCTATTGGCTGTAATTTGATGACGTTACATCTTCCTCCACCAATCACAGTTAAGTAAGGGATTACTGGACGAATGCAAAATGTACGACAAAGCTATGAAGTTCTTGGGGCGATGCTGCATGTAGAAGGGCCCCTGGGGGCGCCATAGCCCCTGGCAGAGACCCTGACGCCCCTAAAAAGGCACCCACTGCCACTAGGAGGGCCCATACCAGCGCCGCCGGCCCTAGGAGGGCCCATAGGGGCGCCACCGCCTTTTAAAGGGTTCTTGTGGGCGTCACTGCTCCTGAGAGGGTTCCTGGGGGTGACGCTGCCTTTGGGACGGCCCCCTGGGGGCTTCACCACCCCTGGGAGTGCCGAGCCGATGGGAGGTCCCCTGGGGGTGCAGTCGCTACTGGGAGGACCCCTGGGGCCACCACCCCCGCTGGAAGAGCCCCTGGAGGCACCGCCCCTGCTGGAAATGACCCTGGGAGCGCCCCTGTGAGCGACAGACCTGTACGGCCATTAGGGGTTGTAGTTTTTTAGTTATTTTGAACTCTGGGAGATGCAACGATAAATAAATGCACCGACCATCACATTTCTAGTATCACTGCTTCCTGAACAATGTATTGGAGAATATTTTCAAACAGGAAAATATAAGTTGTTGTGTTGTACTGACTGACTGCTCTCTTCTCCTATTGGCTGTAATCTAGACTATTAAAAGAATAATCCACCAATCATAGTTAAGTAAGCATCTGCTGAAGGTATGTAATATATGACACAATATCCAAGCATGCCATAGGGACCTAGGGGGCAATGGGTATGGTCCCTGAGGGAGCCGGCACTGGGAGGGTCCCTGGGGTCACATCCGCTGCTAGGCGGCCCTGTCGCCCCTAGGACGCCCCCTGAAGGCGGCAACATCTCTAGGAGGATTTCTGGGGGCGTCGCTGCCCACAAGAGAGCCCCTGGGGGTTCCATCTCCACTGGGAGGGCCCCTAGAGGCACCGTAGCCGCTGGGAGGCCCCATGGGGGAGCTGCAGACTCTGGGGGTGATTCTGCGGGCGTTGCCTCCCCTAGGAGGGTCCCTGGAATGGTCCCTGGGAGCATCGTCTCCCCTTGGAGGTTCTCTGGGGGCGCCGCTGTCACTGAAAGGGTTTCTGGGAGCATCGCTGGCCCTGACAGCGCTGCCGCCTGTATTAGGACACGTGGGGGCACCTTCGCCCATAGAAGGGTCCCCTGGATGTTCCCTAGGGGCATCACCGCCCTGAAAGGAATCCTGGGGGCGCCATCACCCCTGGGAGGGTTCCTAGAGGTGCCGCCGCCCCTAGGAGGGCTCTTCGGGGCTCCACTACCCCTGGTAGGGCTCCTGGGAATGCTGCTGCCCTTGAGAGGGCCCCTGGGGTCGCCGAAACCCCAGAGAGGGCCCCTGGTCCACCAAAGCCCCAATTCGGTTCCCTGGGGCGGCAAAGCCCTAGAGAGGGCCCCTGGGGCGTTGCCGCCCCTGGCAGGGTATCTGGGGGCGTCGCTGCCACTGGGAAGGCCCCTGGGTGCTCCACCACTTTTGGGATGGCCCCTGGGAGTTCTGCCGCCGCTCGGAGGGTCCTCGGGGGCGTCATCGCCCCTAGGAATGCACCCTAGTGGCGCCCCCGATTCTAGGAAGGTTTCCTGGGGATTCCTTGCCCCTGGGAGAGTCCCTGTGGGCAATGCCGACCTTGGAAGTGTTTTTGGGGGCGCCACCGCCCCTGGGAGGGTTATTGGGATGGTCCCTGGGGGCGTCCTCGACCCTGGGGACGCCACCGCCCTTGAGAGAGTCACCTTGGGCCTCCAACACCCCTGTGAGGGTCCCTGGAAGTGACACCGCCCGTAAGAGGGTTCCTGGGGTAGATGCTGCCTCTGGGAAGTTCACCACCCCTGGGGGTGTAGCTGCCACTGGAAGGTCTCTTGGGGGTGCCGTCGCCACTGGGAGGGACCCTGGGGGCGCCGCCGCCCCTTGGAGGGTCCCTGTGAATGCCAGATATTTATGGCCCTTGGATGCAGTACTTTTTGCGCTATATATAACTCTGGGAGATGTAACGTTAAATAAATGCACCGCCCATCATATTTCCAGTATCACTGCATCCTAAACAACGTATTGGAGAATAATATCAAACAAGAAAACATTAGTTGTGGTGTTGTACTGACTGACTGCTCTCTTCTCCTATTGGCTGTAATTTGGTTTATTAAAAGAATAATCCACCAATCATAGTTAAGTAAGCATCTGCTGAAAGTATGTAATATATATGACATAATGACCAAGCATGCCATCGGGCCCCAGGGGGTCTTTGGTAGGGTCCCTAGGGGAGCTGGCATTGGGAGGGTCCCTGGGGTCTTCTTTGCCCCTAGGATGCTTTCTGAGGGCGGCGCCGTCTCTGGGGCCATCGTTGCCCATACGAGAGCCCCTGGGGGTGCCATCGCAGCTGGGTGGGCCCTTGGAGCATCATCGCCGCTGGGAGGGTCCCTGATGTCGCTGCGGTCCTGGGGGCTCCACCATCCCTGGGAGGTCTCCTGAGGATGCTGCTGCCTTTGAGAAGCCCCTGGGGTCGCCAAAGGCCCAGAGAGGGCCCCTGGGGCATCAAAGCCCCAAAAGAGGTCCCCTGGGGCACTGAAGCCCCAGAAGGGCCCGTGGGGCATCACTGCCCCTGGGGGCGCTGCCACCACTTGGAGGGCCCCTGTAAGTGCCAGACCTGTAGGGCCTTTGGGTGCAGTATATTTCAGGAAGGTTTGGAGCAACTGCAGGAGCAGGACAATAACATCTCATTGTGCTGGAAGGGCCTAGAAGGGCAGTTAAGAGAAAGTGAATTTCAGGAGTTGAGAAAGAGCTAGGATTTAACAGCCTATGGAAACAGAGAGGGAGACTGCTCATTTGCAACAAACTGTTGTTTAGGAAATGGGGAAGGCCAAGCCAGAAGGAGATACAGCAACTAGTTTTGCCTACTACCTTGAAAGGGGAGGTATTGAAACGTTTGCATGATGACATTGGTCATCAGTGTATCGAATGCACCACTAGAATGATTAAGCAGAGGTGCTACTGGCCACGAATGGATCAGGACAGGACATCTTTGAATTACTGTAGGGACTGCCATCGGTGCATTGTAGCAAAGGCAGTTATCCCAGAGGTACACATGCAGATGAAGCCTCTTACAGCCAGTAGACCCTTTGACAATCTGGCAGTGGATTTTACAGTACTAGAACCATCAAGTGACAGCAGAGAAAATGTGCTGGTGGTGACAGATGTGTTCTCTAAGTACACCTGGGCATTCGCCACACGGGATCAGAAGGCATCGACTGTAGCAAAGACCCTGGTTGATGAGATATTTACCAAATATGCTCAATTTCAAAGTGCATTACTGAAAGACCTATGCAAGACCTGAGGAATAAAGAAATCTAGGACTACCCCCATACCATCCAGCTGGAAACGTACAGTGCGAGAGGTTTAACCGCACAATGCACCAATTGTTACAAACACTGTCAGTCGAGCAAAAGAGACATTGGGCAAAGCATCTAGGAATGGTAACTCCCATCTATAATAAGATTCCTAGCTCGACCACTGGGTTCTCCCCTCACACTTCGATTTTCGGTACCGATCCCAAGCTTCCGATAGATATGTTATTTGCACAAGCAGAGGAGGTGGTCTCGTGTGATGATTGAGTGGCCCTACACAAAGAAGTATTAGAGAATGCCTGGAGAGTTGCAAATGGTAATTTCGAGAGCAAGTGTCAGAGTAGGAAGCTTCTGTATGATAAGAAAGCGAGAGGAAAAGTATTGGACGTTGGTTAACGTGTACTAGTGCGAAACCTTCATGGAAAGGGAAGAAGTAAAATTCAAGACAACTGGTACGATGATATATATATATATGATATCCCCATGTGTTGAATGAGGAGGGAAGTGTGTATAGGATTGTTCCAGAGGAAGGAGATGGGGCCTCAAAGGTAATACACTGCATGCATTTGCGGGCAGCCCCAAGGGTAGCTGATGGCTCAGATGTGACAGATAGCTATGATGGCAATGATGAAGACAATGCTGGTTGCCCAGTGGGGGACCCACATCATGACAGTGGTGAAAAGTCTAGGAACGAGGTAGAGACACATAGTTCTAATGAGGACCTGGACCCCGTAGCAGATAGTATTAGTAGCAGTTGTGGGGAAGAGTCTCAGGGTGGACTTGCAGTCCACTTATCCATGCAAAGTTACAAAAAATCTCAGTAAACTCTCTTAATCTGGGGGGAAATTCACTTAACATGGACTGAATTTCCCCCAATTAGTCCAGATTAAGAGAGTTTTACTTATGTCTTTGGTAACTTTGCGTGGGCAAGTGCGGTTTTCTTTGCAGTATGCATACAACATCAATTTTACAATATAAACTGATTGCTAGTATCAAATATAGCATACTAAGCCCAGTTTATATTAAATGATATAAATAAGCCAAATGTACCCCAAATGGACAAAAAGGCTATCTTTTCAACATGTGTTTACAAAAATCAAGTTCGGTGATGCGTCCTGTGTCTATTGTGCATCTATAGTATTATGTAGCATATATCCTTAAGTGGTTGTACGGAATAAGTTGTGTGTCGCTGTTACATGGTTTGATTGTAAGGGGAAGGTTGTCCAGTTGCTCTTCTGATTGACTTGTTTTGTAGTGGTTGGAACAAATGTTCATTACCTTTTCTCATTTGATTAGTGATAATGGTGCAGTAGTGTCTGTGTTTAGTTTTCTAAATCTTCTGTCTTGTCAATGCAGTGTTTGTTAATTTAATTTGTTCCTTGGTATATGTTAAAATACCTGTACTGTACTCATAATTTTTAGCCCCAATATTCATCCTTGTTTTATCATATTAATTGGTGCATTGTTTGTGGTTATCAGGACTGGATTAATTTTTGCCATGCAATTTATGTTTGTTTGTCTTATTTGTTCTGTTGCATCTTCAATTTTACTGGCCTGTTTCTTTAGATCTTCCTGGGTACCTTATTATATGGGTTATACTATACAGTATGTCATGGTGGGGGTATGTCTGCAGTATATACTGTATACGTACAGTGTTGGTGATAAATTGCGGCCTTTTGGAAAACTGGTGTTAAGGTCAAATCTTGACAAGCAGTATGAAATTTCATTCTTCTCATGACAATTCAAGCCTCTTATTTTATACTATTGTGACTGTTCGTTGGCATTAAAACCTAATGACTCATATCCTGACTGTGTTAAATACAAAAACCAACAGGTGGGAATTTATTTTCATAATTGAAAGTGCATCCAATGTTTACTTTAAAACCTGTTTCACATATACAGCATACATACAGATAACATTTATATTGAATTTGTTTCTAACATACTTAGGTAATTTGAGATTATATTTTTATGCAGAGTAAATACACCTAACTGTTACTGTCCTATCAGTTATTGCATTTCAGTGACACTAACACAATTTACCATGATACACTTTTAATCCTAGTTTTCTTAAAGAATACTCTACTTAATAACAACTGAGTGAAATGACATATTTATGAGATGAATGATGAGAATTTGGTAAAAAAAAAAAAAAAAAAAAAATATGCTAAAATACACAAAACTTCTTCTTGTCTTTTCTACTCTGTTGTTCTCCCTGCACCTTTCCTTCAGCTTCTTGTAATCTTTGTATCTCTATTTTCTTACTCTGTAGCTTACTGTCAATAATGGCCAAAGCTGCCTTATTGCCGATTTGTCTCTCTTTTGTGGTTTCCAGTTTTTCTACCTCTCTCTGAAGTTGACGGATATTTTCACTCAGTTGGTAATTCTTCATGTTGAGGTCTTTGGTTGAATCTTTTTGAAGGGCACATTTACTAACATTCAACACAGGCTTTGAGTTTGATTCATCATCACTATCTTCTAGGGGTTGACCTGAAATTAAAAGAATTAAATTAAATACTGTATCAATACTTCCTGTATGGTGAACATCAAATTACACTATGAGTATACAGTACTCCTCCACCCCCCCCCACTTCTAATTCCCATCATCATCATCATCATCAACCAGCAACATTCTACATACACACCTCAAAGTAAGTGTACTTTACTTTGAATCCTGATTAAAATAAAAATGAAAAATGTTAGTGAGACCAATTCAGGCAGATAATCTCACGGAAAAGTGTCTTTATCTAGTGCAATTGAATATATCAAGTTAAGGTAGAATTACAGCACAGTATTTAATTTTGAAGCTATTTTTGAGCATTACTTCTATGATTTTGTTTAAACCAATTTCCTTGGTACATTCTTCAAACTTAAGTGAACCTGTGAGAATCTCACCTCTGGTCTACTGCATGGCTTACACAAACTTATTGTCACATGTTCACTGATGGTAAACTGCCACCCACATTTACTCAACATAACCTAAGTACCCCAAACCTTTGTTTACAGCAGTTTGGTAAAGTGATGCTCTGAACATTGTGTATTGTGTGGCCTTTTCTGTCTTTTATTTTAATGTGAGTAAAGATTTACCTTTTCCTCCCAATTTCTTATTAATTAAATCAAAGACCGATGTTTTCTTCCGGAGTCTCTCTGCAGCTTGGGCAGATTTGGCTTCTTCCTTCTTTCGTTCTCGGTCAAGTCTCTTCTCAACTTCTAGCAACTCTTCGCCATTAGATGCTTCACGAAGTTCCATGCAACGATCTGTAAAAGTTAAACAGAGTGTAGGAATAGGATATCTTCTCAAGAGCGGAGATTTAGCTCTTAAATGGCAGTCAACGTCAATTGATGTTAGCTGTAAGGACAGCAGCCAATATCACTGGATATTTTAAGTTCCTTTGTCTTCTAGATTTTGCACATAAGGAGGAATCCTTACTCACCTTTTAAGGTTAAGTGTATGATGCAACTGGTGAAAATAAAAACCAATGAGAATGAGGAAAATCATTATATTTTTTAAATAATTACCCAGTAATAAAGAATTTCCTTTAAATCATTACACAAATATTGTTTTTTCTTCATTTTCTTCCTGTGTTGTGGATAATATTTGTTTCTCAGCTAATAATATATACTGAACATGATTTCCTACACTCAAGTAGTACAGTGATATCCAGGTTAGCTGGAATAATTGGTGCAGAGCTCTTCCGGTGATGAGAGATTTCTGGGTAATAAGACGATTCTCTCTCAAACCTGGAAAAAATCACATTCCCGGAATTTTTCTGGGTACTGGATAAAGTTTTTCATAATTTTCCAGAGATTACTCATTATTTCATCCTCTGAATTTGCTCCTAGACCAAGAAAAAATATAATACGAAATTGGGGGAGATTTTCCGTAATTTTCTCAGAAAACGCCCCTGATTTCAACCTGGAATGGAGATTCCCTAAAAAATTCCTACCCAATTTAAATTCCGGCTAACACGGATTCTGCTAAAGGATATATTACTGCCTGCTATAGTGAAAATTTATCACTCATTAAATGTCCAACCACAACAAGCGGTGTTTGAGCTCTTAAGGCATTAAATTGGATAACGTATCTTTTCAGTAATCACAAATATGCCAAAGAGTTAGGTGAGTAAGTTTAGTGCTTCAAGTCACCTAACATTTCATATGCACATCTAATTCTCTGACCCTTCACCTCAAAATTGTCCATAAAGTACAGCTACCCAATATTCCCTTTTTTACAAGGAATTATTCAAAATAATTTGGAAAATCACGATAGCACATTTGATATTTCCACTTACTGTACTGGTAAATATTGTATAGCTAAACAGTATATATTACATCCTTACATTCAGAATTTATAAATTTAGTACAAATTTTAGAGTAATATGTTCACTTTTGTAGGTTGCAAATATCCCATGATCAATTTACAAAGGCTATGTAAGGCTATTTTGAAGAAAAAACTTATTACAAAGCAATGAGACAAAAGTATTTTCAGAAATAAAGAATATGTAACTAATTACTGGTGTTACAAAAGGGGTTGAAATTAAAAATGACAGTACTGTATTAGGAAAGAGATTAACATACTAGCACTAAGTGAAGATACTGGGAGAAATCAAATACATAGGTATGGCTACATCAAATTAATGACAGCAGTCAGACACACTAAAATGATAGCTATATGAATATCAAATAGAAGAAACCTTGTTGGTAAACCTGGAAAAGATAGAAATGAAATATCAAGCACACTGCATGGAGAGAGACAAAATATAAACATGGAAGAAATCAATCTCTCTGTTAAGACTGAGGGCTGTATTCACAGTCATTACCACCACCTGACCGATTGACAGCACCTTTATGTGTGGTTATTCAAAGATGCCTACAGACCAAAAGGCATTCCTGATGGATTGGGTTTCCTATTAGGATTATTGGAACAATTCATTGAGAGGGGGTTCCTGCCCTGTGGCAGTCCCTACGAATATAATTTTTTCGCCCTTCAAATTATGATACTGTATACAGGGGGATCCCCTAAATTCGCAGGGGTTAGGTTCTCAAAATGGCCGCGAATCACCAAATCCGCAAATAACATTTGCAGGGGGGTGGGGGGTACATCTTTCCTTGTGTACAAAGAAATCTATCTTCCCTTTATGTGTTTGCCCTTAGGACCAGGGCTGTGGAGTCGGAGGAAATTTCGGCTTGTGGAGTCGGAGTCGGTAAAATTGTCCAGACTCCGACTGAAGCTATTCTGTTCCTAAGAGCAAATATATGAACTCAGGCATATTCATTGCAGTGATTCCACTGATCCCACTAATTTTCTTAAATTATTAAAAGAATTTATTTCCATTTTATAAGCATTATTATGAATTTATTGTAGCAGGCACAGTATAGCATTATAATTTTGGACGATAGTCTCTTCTTTACCATTTGAAATTTTGAATTATATCAAATTTTGTTTCGTTGAAAACTGCACAGAGGCTCTCAGCTACAAAACAATTAGCTACAACCTGTTTTTGGTGAGATTAAGGCAAATTTAATTTAATAACTTAATCATGTAAGGTTTATCCATTTTCCTTATTAAGGTATTCATTTCTTTAATGTACATAAATATATAACTTTACTTTAAAAGGAATTGTAGGATCATCATTTAGATCCACATCAGATTATGAGCTTAAACAAAATTCATATGCTGAGATCGAACTTTTAGATATATATGTAAATGGTGTTTTCTAGTTAATATCTTAAATTCTTAATAAATTTATTTTTCTTTTGATTGAAACTTTGAAAGTCAAGCCTATCATCTTTTTGTAGTTCTTAAATATCGTCCAGATCATTAATAAAGCTGTAGCAGTATAGCCAAGGTGTTTTACTTTTTACCTATGCAGGTTACAACATACAAATTACAATTAGGATGGTAGAAATAGTTGTTACAAATAGGCCAAGGAGTCGGAGTCGGAAGCATAAAAATTTGAGGAGTCGGAGTCGAAGGTTTTGTCTTCGACTCCACAGCCCTGGTACCTATACTGAAATTTTGAACAAAATCCATTTATTGGCAGAAAATGACAAAAATTGTAAGTCTAAAGCCTTAAAGGATTTTTGGCCAAAAATACTTTTTCTCTCTGAACTAAAATTTAATGTGCCTAACTATTTAAGTACATCCAGAATAATACACAAGCACGAAGAAATGACCTCGAAACCCATAAGTGGCGAGTAATTAGCATTGCAAAAGTAATTAAAATATTTTAAAAATCATTTGAACATTTTCTAAAAGCCATTTGAACAAGTTATAATCAAGATATCAAATTTTGGTTAACAGATCCTTAAGCAGCACATTCAGGAGTACCTATACTGAAATTTTGAACAAAATCCATTTGTGGACGAAATGCCAAAAATTGTAAGGTTTACCCCTTACAGAATTTTTGGCCAAAAATACTTTTTTTCTCTGAACTAAAATTTAATGTGCCTAACTATTTAAGTACATCCAGAATAATACACAAGCACCAAGAAATGACCTTGAAAACCCATAAGTGGCGAGTAATTAGCATTGCAAAAGTAATTAAAATATTCTAAAAATCATTTGAACATTTTCTAAAAGCCATTTGAACACGTTATAATCAAGATATCAAATTTTGGTTAATAGATCCTTAAGCAGCACATTCAGGAGTACCTATACTGAAATTTTGAACAAAATCCAATTTTTGGCCGAAATGACAAAAATTGTAAGTCTAAAGCCTTAAAGGATTTTTGGCCAAAAATACTTTTTCTCTCTGAACTAAAATTTAATGTGCCTAACTATTTAAGTACATCCAGAATAATACACAAGCACCATGAAAATGATCTGAAACGAGTATGTATATATCAGCATTGCAAAAGTACTAAAATATTCTAAAATCATTTAATATTTCTAAAGTTTATTTGAACAAGTATAATCAAGATATCAAATTTATACAGATCCTAAAGCAAGCACATTCAGGATACCTATACTGAAATTTTTGAACAAAAATCCATTTTGGCTTGAAATGACAAAATTGTAAAGTCTAAAGTCTTAAAGGATTTTTTTTTACCAAAAAATATTGCTTTTTCTGAACCAAAATTTAATGTGCTCTAAATCATTTAAGTACATCCAGAATAATACACAAACACCAAGAAATGACCTCGAAAACCCATGAGTGGCGAGTAATTAGCATTGCAAAAGTAATTAAAATATTCTAAAAATCATTTCAACATTTTCTACAAGCCATTTGAACAAGTTATAATCAAGATATCAAATTTTGGTTAACATATCCTTAAGCAGCACATTCAGGAGTACCGAAACTGAAATTTTGAACAAAATCCATTTATGGCCGAAAATGACAAAATTTGTAAGTCTAAAGCCTTAAAGGATTTTTGGCCAAAAATACTTTTTCTCTCTGAACTAAAATTTAATGTGCCTAACTATTTAAGTACATCCAGAATAATACACAAGCACCAAGAAATGACCTCGAAAACCCATAAGTGGCGAGTAATTAGCATTGCAAAAGTAATTAAAATATTCTAAAAATCATTTGAACATTTTCTAAAAGCCATTTGAACAAGTAATAATCAAGATATCAAATTTTAGTTAGCAGATCCTTAAGCAGCACATTCAGAGTACCTAAACTGAAATTTTGAACAAAATCCATTTTTTGGCCGAAAATGACAAAAATTGTAAGTCTATAGCCTTAAAGGATTTTTGGCCAAAAATACGTTTTCTCTCTGAACTAACATTTAATGTGCCTAACTATTTAAGTACATCCAGAATAATACACAAGCACCAAGAAATGACCTCGAAAACCCATATGTGGCGAGTAATTAGTATTGCAAAAGTAATTAAAATATTCTAAAAATCATTTGAACATTATCTAAAAGCCATTTGAACAAGTTATAATCAAAATATCAAATTTTGGTTAACAGATCCTTAAGCAGCACGTTCAGGAGTACCTATACTGAAATTTTGAACAAAATCCATTTTTTGGCCGAAAATGACAAAAATTGTAAGTCTAAAGCCTTAAAGGATTTTTAATAAAAAATACGTTTTCTCTCTGAACTAAAATTTAATGTGCCTAACTATTTAAGTACAAACAGAATAATACACAAGTACCAAGAAATGACCTCGAAAACCCATAAGTGGCGAGTAATTAGCATTGCAAAAGTAATTAAAATATTCTAAAAATCATTTGAACATTTTCTAAAAGCCATTTGAACAAGTTATAATCAAGATATCAAATTTTGGTTAACAGATCCTTAAGCAG